GAAAATGTTTAACAAAATAAGTAACATGACAAAACTTGAAGTGACTTCATGGTTTTCTACACCAACGGGCATCCACAAGGATCATTACGGATGGCCTGATGTTGCTCAGTTGTTCAGTCACGTCTGACTCTTTATGATCCCAGGGACTGTAACATGTCAATGCTGTCCATGGGATTTTCTTTCTCTCCCCTTTTTTCTTTTGGTTAGGCAATGGGTTTTAAGTGACTTGCCCAGGGTCACACACCCAGATCTGAACTCAGGTCCTCCTGAATCCAGGGCCGGTGCTTTATCCACTGCACCACCTAGCTGCCCCTCCATGGGATTTTCTTGACGAAGATACTGGAGTGGTTTGTCACTTCCTTCTTCAGTGGCTTAAGGTAAATAGGGTTAAGTAACTTGTCCAGAGTCACACAACTAGTAAGTGTCTGAGGCTGGATTTGAACTCAGGTCTTCCTGACTCCAGGCCAAGAGCTCTATGCACAATGGTGCCACCTATCTGCCTCATGTATAGTTTAGTGGCCCCCATTTCTAGTTGACTTTGACATCACTGCTGTTGGGAGCAGAAATTTTGTATAGAATACTGGATCTGAAGTCATAGGACCTGAGTTCAAATCCTAGCACTGCTGTAGGTATGACCTTAGTCAAGTCACCTAAATGTTCAAAGTCTCAATTTCCCTGTGTGTAAAACTGTGATATGACTAAATCAGAGGTGGGGAATTTGTGGCCTCGAGGCCCTCAAGTGCGGCCCTTTAACTTAACAAATCCTTCTGTTCTCAGTCCTTTGGGTATTTGTTCTGTGAGGTTTGGATTCAGTCCAAGGGCCACACTTGACAGCCCCGAGGCCAGAAGTTCCCCATCCCTGATTTAGTCATGTAACAATTTCACACACAAGGAAACTGTGTAGGTTCCACCCCTGGACTAACTGATATTTAAGGTCTCTTTTTAGCTTTACATCTTGATGTCACATATAAAGAACTTTGAAAGAAAAAAAGAAAACAACTTTCCAACTACAGCATTTCTTGATCCATGGAACAATAGACTCAAAAAACTGTTCTCACTGCCAAGAAAGATGGAGATTAAGCTATAGCTGATTGATTGGGGCCTAACATTAAGAGTCGTATCACTCATGTATGAAGTAAAACCAGGGGTTTCCCTAAACTAGTATCAAATCTTAAATGGACAAAATTCAGCAAATTATGCCTTAAGAATAAACACTTATTTCTACAGTAGAAAAGCATACCACTCTAAGGCTGAGCTGGCCAAAAGTAAGCTACATTCCATTTCTTGCAGGTCTCCACACACACACACACACACACACACACACACACACACACATGAGAAGCTTCTATTGATATCCTTGCAGTTGTGTCATTGCTAGCATATGATCAGGTATCTGACAAACGCTCTTAAAAAAGGAATCAATTAATCAACAAGCATTTTTTTTTGCTGCCTTTTTTAAAAAATTAATTAATTTAGTTTTAGTTTTCAACATTCGCTTCCACAAGTTATGTTCCAAATTTTCTCCCCATCTCACTCCTTTCCCCACCCCACGATGGCGTGCATTCTGAATACCCCTTCCCCTAATCTGCCCTCCCTTCTATCACCACCACCCCTTCTCTTATCCCCTTCCCCTTCTATTTTTCTGTAGGGCAGGATAGATTTCTATACCCCATCACCTGTATATCTTATTTCCAAGTTGCATGTAAAAATAATTTTTAACATTCATTTTTAAAACTTTGAGTTTCAAATTCTCTCCCTTCCTCCCTCCCCACCCACCCTCACTGAGAGGGCAAGCAATTTGATATACGTTATACTTGTGTAGTCATGCAAAACACTTCCATAATAGTCATGCTGTGAAAGACTAACTGTATTTCCCTCCACCCTATCCCGCCCCATTTATTCTGTTCTCTCTTTTGATTCTGTCCCTCCTCAAAAGTGTTTGCTTCTGATTACCCCTCCCCTAATCTGCCCTCCCTTCTATCATCACTCCCCTCTCTTATCCTCTTCCCCCCTATTTTCCTGTAGGGCAAAACAGACTTCCATACACAATTGAGTGTATATGTTATGCCCTCCTTAAGCCAAATCCAATGAGAGTAAGATTCACTCATTCCCTCTCACCTCCCCCCTCTTCCCCTGCACTGTAAAAGCTTCTTCTTGTCTCTTTTATGTGAGATAATTTACCCCATTCTACCTTCCCCTTTCTCCTTCTCCCAGTACAATCCTCTCTCACCACTTAATTGTATTTTTGAGATATCATCCCTTCATATTCAACTCAACCTTCAACAAGCATTTAGTAAGCAGCTACTTATGTGTCAGACAAAAGTCTCCAAGTCTAGGAACTGAGATTTACAAAAACAAAAATGAAGTCGTTCTCACCCTCAAGGAACTTCTTGTATATTAAGCGAAATACAAATTATACACACACACACACACACATACACACACACACACACACGTATATATGTGTGTATGTGTGTACATATATATGTATCTATATACATATGTGAGTATACACACACACACACACACAGAAAAGACAAGATAATTTTTGACAATATGGCACTGAAGGGAAATTCAGAGTGTCTGCAAAAAGCAGAGCTTGGGCTGAGCTCTGAAGGAAGCTAGGAGTGTATCACAGGCATGGGGAAAAGAGATGGGACATAGGAGTGTAGTGGGTGAGAAAGAGCCAGCAGGCCAGTTTGACTGTACTGTAAGAGTGTGTGAAAGATGTAAGGAGGCTGATAACTTAGGTTGGGGCCAGATTGTGGTGGGTTTTAAATGTCACAGAAAGACAATTTCTGAACAAGATTAAGAAATTATAAGATTTCAGAAGTAGGAGAAACCTTAGAGCTCATGTAGTTCAACTCTTTCATTTTAAACATAAGGAAACAGATCCCACGAGACAACTAAGGGCCACACAGGACAAACGAGATAATGTCTATGTGGCAGAGCCAAGATTAAAACCCAGGCTGACTACAAACCTAGCATTCTTTCTACCACGGCCAACAGATTCCTTTTCTTCAGTTCAGTTCTTCTGAACACCTTTGTAGGTCTAAATGCATTTACGAGAATTTTCATGTCATCTTTCTTTTCTCAATTCTCTAAGCTGACTCGCATAAATAGCCACAAGAGAGATAAATAGATGCTTATTTACTGTGCAGGACAGCCCATACACTTTAGCAACCTTAAACAGTAACACAGAATGTTCAACATTTTCTACTCAAGGCTTAATTTGACTGGGATCTTATAAGAACCTTTTTTTTTAAACAACAAAAAGCTGTCTGCTTTCTCTGCAGGTATTAATACAGATGATCTAGTAAGGATATTAGATAATTTCATACCTGGTTCAACTAGAGGTATATTGACATTTGAACTAGCCTACACTCTGAGATTGACAGTTTAACACTCAGTAGTGACACACAACTTTTCATCAGTGAATGGGATTGAAAAACAAGAGTCTTTTTCTACTACAGTTTGATAATAGCAACTTTAACTGTGTTCTGAGCATTCTGTTAGACATTGAGGAGTTACATAATGAAGGTAGTTTACATCTTTTAACTTTAAAAAGTATATTAGCTAATTGGGACAAATAAAATAACCTGTAAGAAAAAAAACAAAAACAAAACCACAAACAAGAATGCAACTTGCAACAATAGTGCAAAGACAGAATTAAACTCCTAGTGGTTGGAAATGCCTGCAATAATAGGCAACCATATTTATTTAAGAGTATTTCCTGACCTCCAGTTAATATTTAAGTCTGCCAGTGATAATTATTGTGAAATAACTTGTTACTACAAGCATATCTATCTACAACAATGCTTAATGACCAATACATAGATCCTTTTTTATCTCATACCAAAGCTTTATCAGTTCTGAATTAATTAGTTTTAATAAGTTTTTATATAGAAGCTAGGATTTAGAGACAAGATTTCACTGTGGCCACATGAAAAGTTGTAAGATAGAAAGCCTTAATCTTAACTAGTCTTAAAGTTTTTGCTTAATTTTTTTTTTATTAAAAAGTGATTACAGAGAAAACTTTCTAAATTCTAAGGCATGAAATATACAAGCCTATGCTGTAAGGAACTCACTATAGGTACTTCGTTATGGAAGAATACATCTTAAAAATGTCTAAATGAAGCAATGATTTTACATTGTGTAGAAGTGTTCCTTGTGTCACAGGATTTCCTTTTCACCTAACACCAGAGATAACATTTTTACATAAAATGTTAAAAAGGTGCTAAGGTTCACAAGCCAGGATATAATTGCCTTTTAAAACTATGATACAGGAGCAGCTAGGTGGCACATTGGAGAGAGCTTAGGCCTTGGAGTGCGGAGGACTTGAGTTCAAATCTGGCCTCAGACACTTGATACTTACTAGCTGTGTGACCCTGGGCAAGTCACCTAACCCCAACTACCCCAGCAAAAACAAAACAAAACAAAAAAACAACTACTACTATGATACAGACAAATAGTACTAAAGTACTATTAGTATAATAGCACGAATCACTGAATTATTAACTAAAGAACTCATAATACTGTGATATAAGACTAAGGGCTAAAATACTAGTATTAATTATGATATGTATAATACAACAGTACCATGAATACTCTAGTCAGGTATATTATATCTACAGTATGGGAAAATGTTCTAAATAACTATCTCACAAATAAACTTTTGGAAAACAACCAGCTTATAATTTGGAAGTGGTTCCTAATGTATAAGAAAGACCTAAGATAACAAAACAGAGGAATGGGAAATTTTTGCTGCCACTACTAGTATTCCTTATCTTACACCGAACTGAAAACTTCTGAAAACATACAATCACAATTGAGTGGTGGAACTTTCAAAATCTTATTCTAACATGAACAGGAGAACAATGTTTTAAAACAATATACCCACTTACATAAATGACCACTTGAATGTTTAAAAAAATTACCCTAAGGAGCCTTGGCTTGAAAAAGAAACCTGATATAGTTCAAAAATCTAAGTTTCAACTTACCATTTATGTTTATTGCTGGCAAAACTATTGACATCTTTGGTCTTGTGGTCTTGTTATGAGTGGTAGCTGGTAACAGCAGGTGATCCTAAAAAATGCCAGAGAGAAATGTGTTATAATAGATAATAGGGCTTAAAGCTAGAATTAGGAGTTAGTATTCCTAATATGTAAAAAACTTCCTATTTGATTCTTTAACAAACTTCTAAATTTTATTTTTTTTTAATTCTGAACACCAAATAATAATAATGAACACCAAAAAAGAACATTTCCATATAAAAAGGTGAACAGAAAATACAAATGTTACATAGAGCTTACATTTTAAAAAAACATATTAAATTCAATGCTACTATCAAAGATATTCTTGGTTCTCTTATGCATTTTTGAAAATGCTTTAATGACCCTTCTTAATTCCTTTTGGTGGGGGTCATCCCTCTTACTACCTTCCCTCTTTCATAGTAGAATCTATTTAATATTGTCTTTACATTCTATCACTAGCACAGTACCTGGCACACAGAAAGTACTTAATAAATGCTGAATTGAATACAAATAAATTTCAAAAAAGGGAAAACAGGAAAAGTCTCATATAGGAAGTAATTATAATTTAACACAATGTAGGCATCCTCAGATTTTAATTATATTTTCCCCCTTAAACTTGCCCTAAAAGTTGTAAACTCTTTAAATAGTTTCAGGTTATCAGAAAATTGCTAGTTTGTGATAAATAAGTATAGATATGCTCTTCCCAAACTAAAACAAAATGACATAACAACCCTAGAAGCCAACAAAAGTGGCCTGTACTCTCTAACTGTAATTCAGTAATCAATTATTGAACACTCAAAGGGTACAGAGGCTATGTACTAATCCTTGGGCTATATATTAAACAATGGATGCAACTCCTGATTTTTAAAAAAGCGTACAAACTAATAGAGTAACTAGGACAAATATGTAATCAAGAGAAAAAAAAATATGAACATAACGTATCTCTCAATACAAACCGTGTTGACTTTGGCCTGCTGCTTTCTATCACCCAACTAGGTTTTGAGATGCCCAAACTAAAAATCAGAAGGGGTTTACATCCAGAAACTGGGGTAGCTGAGTGTGAAAATATTTGAGAATATATGTGTATATGACCATATTCTAAGATAGATACAACAGAGGAGGGTTACCTATTATGTTACACTTCTCCTTAGTGATGTGGATAAATCAAAGTTGCAGAAAATGAGGATAGTCACATTATCATTTTAGTGAAAGCAGTTTAATTAAGCCAAACCAGAACTTCACAGGTTTGCCTGAATTTCTATTTGCTAGTATCTCATTCAATTACTCATTCCTTCAAGAAAGATTAAGAGATGGTGATGACAAAGACGAAGGTCATAAAGCATTGATTAAAAACTAGACACCGTGCTAAGCACTAGAGCTCCCATTACATTTGAAGGGCACAGAAAGGAAAGATTTGGAATGTATGAGGTGAAACAACTGATACAAATGTGAGATATGGAGAACTCATAGGAGCGCAGTTTCAGAGAACAACCATCTTTTTATTGCACTATGTTATGGAAATGCTTGTTTTATTCCATAAATTAAAAATTAAAAAATTTTTAAAGTGTAGGATGTGAAAAAACATATTGCCTATGTATACCTATTGTAAAAACATAAGTAACCCTCATCTATTGTATCTATTGAGGCACATGAAGCACTGTTACTGCTTGTAGCTTATGTGGTTTAAGGCAAAATTATCACTCTGTCATTTTCATAAATTTCTTAGGAGTGTTTTCATTAGAAAAAAAAACTCAGTGAAGTCATTCTATCAGATTCTGAGGGTAGTGGCAAGGGAGTTCTTGGCAAAAAACACATTGTTAGATGTAAAGATCACACATTTCTGGGATATTTTGTAAGATACCATGTTTCAAACAAGAAAAAATACAACTTTCTGTTCTTAACATTAAGTTGCAAGATTGTGGCTCCTAATAATTTAAATATAATTTTATACTCTTAAAACTGAATGGGAACACAATTGCAAATATAATCCCGGGATTTCCCCCTAGTTTCTTACATTTAAGGGCATTGGTAAAATAAACACAATTAAATACCATTGGTCATGGGTTAAGGATAGAGTCAGACTTAATACTGCATTCCTGCTGAGATCTAGGTCCCAGTAAAAAGGTCAGTTTGAAAACATAGGTTTATGAATATTGCATCTTTCTCTCTTCATTAAATTTCAAAGAAGTTATGAGAGGAAAAGAGCTAGAAAATAGCACTTTTTTAAAATGAAAAGACAATCATTTCTTGAACATACCTATATAATTAATGTAGTCAGCCTAAATAAATGTATCAATTATTGAAGTGTTACAACCAGAAAAGACTTTAATTTATGGTATTAATAAAATTTGCACCCTGCTCTGGGACCCTGAGCTCTGATGGGTGAGTTTTCACCTTATCCTATATTTAGGCTTCTGTCTCACTTCATAGGCCATTTCCAAACCATGTGCCCATACAAGTACCATCCATTCCCCTTCACAATGCTTCTTTGCATGCTGTCTTCCCCAATTAGAACATAAACTCCTTGAGGGTAAGAACTGTATTATTTGCTTGCCTGCACGTAGCACAGTGCCTGCCACAAAACAACCATTTAATAAATGCTTATTCTTTCATTCCTTTCAAAAGTTCCTCAGGGCTAGTGAAACATCAGGAAACCTGAGGCAGTAGGAGCTACCCTGGAAAGGTTGTATGAGGGAGAGCTTACATGGCACAGGTTCAGAAAGTGCTGATCTCACATAAACTACATTTAGTTTTTTAGTTTCCTATCCACTGATATGTACTCAGGAAAAGAAAAAAAAAGAAATTTCAGTATGTTAAAGTGTAATGTAGCTGCTTCCATTTCCATCCACTTTCTACAAAGGGCAAGACTTATGTTCAGTGGGAGTATGTGGATTCTGAGGTTCTTAGTCTCTTCAGATGCCTTGAGCTCACTCTTTTTAGATGGATCATATTCTGTAAGGACAGTGCTAGATTTGGGTTAACAATTAATCAATAAGTATTTACTAAGTACCAGACAGATAGGTTCTCTGGCATCAAAAGATGCAAAACAGCACATATTTAAAATAAATGGTGTGGAACAGACTTTTAAAAAAAAATACAGACTAAAAGTGCTGGAAAGGTTCTAATATGGCTCACAGAATATTTCTTAAAATACTAAGCCAAATTTCATTTAATTACCATGTATCACACAATCTCCTATATTTTCTATTGTCTTCCTTTTTTACTTGAGTATGTTATTAATGCGCTAGGAAAAGAATTCCAGTTCAAGGGAGGAAAAGAAAACAATATTAAAAATGTCAGCAAAACTCATTCCTTCTCAGAAAGTCCATCATTAAATGTTATTTAAAATTACCCAAACATAATAAAGGAATGAACTTTTAAAGATAAAAAGTACAACTGCACCAAAAAGCGTCTCCCATTAGAATTAAACAGGGTAGTCTTACGGTCCTGCTTCGAGAAGACATCACCAATCACCAAATAAAATCTTCAGATTATGTTTGAACACCCTGAGATGTCATCAGGGACTAAATTGAATGGATCAGTATTAAAATCAACAGTGTCTTAGTTACTCTTTATCTACAACATTTAGATGAGAACACCAAAATATTTCACTCTGGAAACTCAGTTTGAGATAAGAGGTTGTGCAATATTTGAGCATGAAAAGATAAGCAGTTTTTTCCCTAAAGACTGAGTCTCCTCATTTCATCCAAGCTGAAAGTGCAGGGTCTATTCACAGGCCCGATCTCACCACTGGATCAGCATGGGAACTCTGAGCTACTGTCAGTTTGACTCTCCCTAAACAAACTGGTGGCCCCTTCTTCAGGGGTTCACTACACTGATCCCATACCTTAGTAAGGACACAGATTTTTATTGGCCACTGGAAATCTGAAACACAGAAATCATCTGCCTTCCCAGCAAAACAGAGTATAAGCACATACCACCATACTCAGTAATGTCATTTTTTACTGAGCCCTCATTACTTTTTTCTAGAACTTGACCATACCTCAGAGCATACCATTTGATTCCATAACATTTAATAAATGCTTACTCTGAAAAGCACTGTTAATTCATAAAAGAAATGTCCCTAACTTCATGGCACACACACAAATAACTTCAATGAATGCATTAGAAAGATGCAGAAACACAGTACTATATGAAGCCTGAGGTCAATATCAACTGGAGCAAAACAGGAAAAGGCTTTATGGAGTAGGTGGCATCTGAGTTGGTTTAAAAGACAGCTACCGACTTAATAGGTAAAGAGAAAAAGGTATATGAAACAGCGTGAGTAAAGAAAGGCATAGAAATGGGAAGGTATCTGCAGGACATTTTAAGTGACAATCTACTTTGGCTGGAACACTGAACATGTGGAATGAAATATGAGATTAAGCTGGAAAGACTTGGGGGGGGGTCAGATTGTGGAGGGCCTGGAATGACAGTTTGAACATCCTCAGTCAGAGCTGGTACAAAGCCTTTGAGAGTGAATATCACCACATTTCTACTCGAATGAGGACTATTATTAAAGTATGTAATTAAATATCAAAAGGTACATGTTTTGAGTTTCTTGTCAAATGTTGACATGATTCATCTGATTATTTGGAAAACTAAGAAGCTTAAAATTGAAAAAATGTTGGAATCCAGTTCCTCTGATAAGCCATGACACACACTTCTTGAATATATTTGCTAGATATCAAAGGATTTAGAAATGAAAGGAAGCTTAGAAGTCGCTGAGCTCAACTCCCTTATTTTACAGATGAGAAAACACAGTTTCCAAAAGGTTAAGTGACCTGGGTACAGAGTCTGCAATAGGCTGCCCAACTTGAATAAGCTCATACTAAGCATCTACTGAGCAGCTCACTGTACTAGAAGATGCAAAATTTAGACAAAACACAGCTCCTGTCCCCATGGAACTTATAAACTTGTAGGGAAGAATAATACATACACACAAAAGTAACCTTAATACAAAATGATACTTGGTATATGCATAACAGAAGTGGCAAACCAAAGCTCTGGACAACTGAAGTAAGGTACTGACTTGTCTGAGTCAATGAAGGA